AAGAAACGAGATGTACGCTTTTTGTATATATATAAGACTGTTAAGAAGTGACGGCAACAATCGGAATTGAATTGCAGACAGAGATAGAGACGGACAATTGAGTCAAGCTCGTGAATCGTTCATTGTGAATTATAGCGTCTGTTTAAGTTAACTGACTGTGGGAATAGTGTATTGCAAAGTTATATTGAGAAAGAATAAATTAGTTTTATTTAAGGAAGGACTTGTATTGCTGAAGTTTTTCATAAAGAATTTCTATGGAATATTAACAAACAAACACAGAGATGTAACAATATGCATAGCAAGAGGGGTCTGATTGTCTACTTCATGGCTCTGTAACGAAATAAGTTTGAAAGATATGAAAATTGTGTTTTGCCTGAGTGGTAACATTTTTATACTGAGTAATTTGAATTTCATACTTCTTGGAGGGGTGGTAAATAAATTAGAGAAGAGGGGATGCCTAGAGAGCTTGTACACTAGCAGAAATTCTAGATTCTTTTACATTGCTTTATAATTGTAAAAAATTAAAACTTACATATTATCAAGATATGGATTATTAGCTACGTTTTTATGCTATATTTATTGGTATACCATGAAAAAAAAGTAGCTCAATTAAATTTTTAATGTAACTTACGAAAACCTTGTGACATGTGCAGATAAAGATGTTTTTGACAAGAGGATTAAAGTGAACTGCGCTATTGCATGATATCAAACTTGCAATGACAGTCTTCTACCAACAGGAGGGTAACAAAACATCCTTGCACAGTAACTCCATCTAAGCACCTGTGCTTGAAGTAACTTCATTCCTTAACAAGACACAAAGAAAGTGCACCAGAAGTGAGGAATATGGGTGGTAAGGTGTGAAGAGTAGGTATCTATCAGAAATAAATATTTCATCTCTTTACACAGAAAAGCTACAATTCTACATTGCAGTGGTTGAGGGTTTGGTGAAAACATTAAATTTAGAAGAGCTCTCTTCAGAAAACATCTAAAAAGAAAGCCCAGAAAGTGTGACACTCAATGGCAGGGGTCCATAAGGATACACCTGTGGGAGACCACATCTTGTTTTTACCAGGGTATACTTTATGCTCAGAAGGAAATGAAAGGCAAAAGAGCCCCAAGTGTTGCAGAAATGGGCAAAATATTTGCATGACCAACCAAGTGGTAGCATGCTAACTGTCTGCAAGCTAAGAAGTGTAGTGCAGTTAGGGCATGATCAGACCATACAGTGTCTTTCTGACCTTGACACAACTGGACAGACAGAGACAGGGGTAAAGAACCCATCTTGCTACATGTGAAGGTGAAGAGAAAATGTCCTTGGATGAAAGAGAGATGTGCGTGGTTGGAGTAAGAGAGTGCGAGAATAGGGCAGAGGGGGCTTGGATGCTAACTTACAAAACAGAGAAAACTAGGACTGTGCTGCTCAGAGAATCACCACCAACAGGACCTAACAAGGAGTATCAAGTATCAAAGCAAGGACACAAGGGAGAAGATGAAGAGGAGAAGAGAAGAGACATAAAGAAAAAGGTGAGACCAGTTCTGGTTGAAAGCATTAATCACAAGGGCCAAAAGATGAGAAACTGGTTACCAGAAGAGAAATTAGTTTGGTCTTGGGAGGAATAGTGAAGGCATCAATGAGAGGCATGCCCAACTGAGAGCAGACCCAATGAAAAACCTGAAAGTGGAAAGACAACTCTGTGTTTAGAATCCTGTCTAATGAGAGTGATCTGCCACCAAATCCATAGCCCCATGCACATGGCAAGCCATGAGACAAACCCAATGAGAATGAGACAAAAAAGTCAATATGCAAAAGCAAAGAGACCTAGAATGAATACCCTCCTGATGGTTGATATAAGAAATGACTGTGGAATTTTCAAAGTGAATCATGACCAATTGATCCATGAGAAGAGGGAAGAAATGGGAATATGACTGATGGATGGTGATAAATTTGAGTACATTGATGTCGTTGTTTAGAGATGGGCCTCAGCCCAACGGAAAAGCATTCATGAAGAGATGGAAATCTGGTCATGGAAGGGGGGATGACAACTGTGGTAATGGCACAGGCAAGCCAACAAGACAAGTCCTCGAGAAGATAAAAGAGTAGGAGTACAGTGAAGACAATAGATCCCAAGAAGTGTTCTACTGGTTGCACAATGTCAACTGGAGGAAGAGGCACATGTGCATGGTCTAAAGGAATGAGTGGTTCAGAGGAAGAAACAATACTGAAAAGCAAAAGAATCTCACACACACAAGGTGCAAATTAGAAGGGCAAACTTTGGTGGCTGGACACTCCATTGCTTGCTGAACCCAACTGAGAGGAAAGCTGAATAACATACCCAAATGCACCAAATATTGGGTAGACTTGGAATGCTTGAAAAGTCAGCCCAGCCGAGTAGTCTACTGCAGAAGAATGTGGATGTGAGAAAAGAACACTTCCTGAGAAAGGGCAAAGAAAAGTCTATCATTCATGTAATAATTGAAATACAGCCCCAATCCATAACATGGAGGCCAAAAGCTTCATGACTCGAGTGAAGACATAATGAGCAGACACAATACCAAAAGAAAGAGCACAGTATTGAAAGGCTTTATCCTGATGAATGAAATTGAAGAAAACATCTGGAGGATGGGGAAATCACAATGTATCAAAAGGCATCCAATAACTTGGTCTTGATCATCCACAGATCAAATGAAAAGAATCAATGGACAGGGATGACAAGGAACCAGTTGAGAGAGATGACAGGTTGATAACAGGATTCCAGTCCCCAGCCAGACTTCTTGGCGACCACAAAGAGATTAGAGTAATAACCTGGGTATGGGCAAATAAACTCCATATGACGTTCTTGGCCAAGGGATCCAAGATCATTTTGCCAGAAAACTGAAAATAAATGGAATTGGAGAAAGAAGGAAAGTAAACTGAAAAGGGGAAAGAGAAGAGAAGTGGAGAGATAGGCCATCACTGAGAACATGAATAACCCATCTTTTGGACAAAAATAGTGACCAAAAGTTAGAAAAGAAATACAGATAGGTTCCCATTGGGCCAGACACAACAGGGTAGTTGCCAGTGAAAAAAGTGACAATCTTGGTGTCCGGGAGTGGTAGGATAGAAGAAAATGAGGAAGACCAAGAAGCTGGAATAAGAAAAAAGATGTGTATTGAGCAAGCCTAGGAACAAGAACAGAAGGGTGAGGTTGATAAAGATGAGACATCAAAGTAGACAATGAAGAATGATATTGGGCTGCCTTAGCAAAGGTCTCCAGTGAGTCAGGAACACTCTCAAAGACCTCTGAGTAAAGAAAGGGAGCCCAACAAAGATCACGGAGATAAGAGTGATGTAAGTGCATTAGCTAGGAAAGTACCCTGTCCCAACAGGCTAATGTGATAAAAGAAGAGAATGAACCTCTTCAGAAAACCTTTCCAGGGCACGATGAAATACCTCAGAAATAAGGTAAGGTGATAAGAGTGGCAGAAAGTGGTAAGAAAGAGATGGAGTGAAAATTGGGCACTAGAAAAAGAAATAGAACTCAAGGAGTCTGCTTCCCAAGCAGGTAAAAGAGATTCCAATGATTGAGAATTGAGAGACTGAAATGAAGAATGGCTGTAAGCCAGGATGAAAGAGCAAAAGAGCTGAATAGGGTGAGACATGTTATTACAAGAGTGCAATTGTTAGAGTAACAAGTCCACATAGACTCTAATATCAGACAAAGGAGAGAAGACAAAATTACCTAGAGTACAGATTTCATGTAGTAAAGAACAAAAGAAATAAAAAATCAGGGAAAGAGAAAGAAAAGAACCTACACGCAAAATCATGTCAAGGAAAAGATTAGGAATGTCAGCTGAATGAACAGGAAAAAGAAGTCCAGTGTACATGAAGGTACCCACAACCCATTGAACAATGGCTGTTATGTTCTCCCATGTTAGCAACATCATCACCATCACTTGAGAATTGATAGTGGTGGAAATTAATAAAACCACACTGGTTATGTGCAACATGAACACTAAACCAGTTAAACTTGAACAAAAATTAACTCATGTAAACTACTGCAAATCTCACATAATTGATAAACAGTTTTTAAAAAGTGTCCATTTCAGACAATGCTGAAGAAAAGAACGACATTAATTTGAGCATAAATGCTAAGGGAGGCTACTATACAAGGAGTATGTGTTGCCCTCCTATTTGTGGAAGGCTTTCATTACATGGTGATGACATTGTGAACTAGCATAGTTCACATTAAACATGTGTTTTTGAGGTAACTCAAGGCTAGTGGCATAAAAATCTCATAGGTAGAGATGTACATAGGAATCAAACTATTCTGTATGCAAAGGTGAGGTATTCTCTCTGAAGTTACAATATATAACTCTGTACTACCATCACTTGCTATAAAATGATAATGTCAAATCATTTCCCAACAAAACTCACAATAAATAACTCTAACATTATTATTACCTATAATATAAAACATCAAATAATTGCACAAGTCACTAAACAACTGAACTTACAATAATATAAATCTCCACAATCATCAATAACTATAATGTAAAACACCAAATCATTCCACAAGTTGTTAAACAACTAAACTTACAATAATTTAACACTACACTTAGTGCTTTTCAGAAATTAAGAAACTTCTTTGCTCATGTAGAAAAATAAAAAAATCAGTTTAATAATGCAAGCCTTAATATTATAATGAAAAATAGTTTTGGAGATCACAAAAGAAAAAGTAACCCTAAAACTACTGCTTAGTATTTTAGAATTTTTTAAGCATAAAAATATATTTTTTTTATTTCCTCCTTCCTTTACAGTTAAGATATCTCACCATTTCCTTGTAGCTGTAAAGCAACTTGTTTCACTGTGAGTGTGTAACTTTTTTCTTTCACGTAGTGACGAAACACAAGTGACTCTGATGAGCTAGGACAAGCTGCCTTGGATCTGTAGTATCGAGTAGTGTAACCTGGAGCTGGGATGTAATCCTTAAAAAATAAAACATTGTAACTCTTGTTGCTTTCTTACTTTTAAACACTTTACTAGACTGAAGGAACAAGACAACTGATTAAAATAATGTGATCACAAAATGTTTTAATATAAGTTCACTAAGGAATTTAGTGGTAACAATATTACTCTTTATCCTCTGTATATTATAGGTTATTTATTAAAGACACTGAAGTTAATATTTTCCTACACTGAAAATATATTTCCAATAAAAACTTATCTCCTGTCATATAATAGCTTTCTCGTTCAGTGCTGCCCTCTTTATCAATAAATGTCTTTGCTATCCACTCCCATTTACCCCACGTTTTGACGTGGCTCAGCTGCATTGTAGCATGCAACTAAGCATACAACAACCCTCCAACCAATAGGAAAGCTAGTTCCCTCTTTACTGTAGAACCCAATCTTCACTTCGAGATTAGGTAGAAAAGAAGCATCATAAGTAGGGAGGAAGAGTGGAAGAAGAGGTAATTATCTATCAAAACCATATTTTCTGTGTAGGAAAATACTAACTTCCAATATGATGTCTTACCTCCTCTAGCAAATAGCTAGATTCCCACACTGACTTGTTTGAGAAACGCACTCATGGGAGAGCACACAAACATACGAACTAGGTATATTCTTTGCCCATCATAAAAATATGTGTCGCTAAATTGGGTGGAAAAGAGGAGCACATCCATTATTGTAAATATGTTAGCTTGACTAGCTCCTTTCCAAAACTAGCCCAGCATGGCCAAATGGTTTTGGCACTCGACTCGCAATCTGAGGGTCGTGGGTTCGAATCTCTATCACACCAAACATGCTCGCCCTTTCAGCCGTGGGGGCGTTATAAAGTGATGGTCAATCCCACTATTCGTTGGT